CCCCAAAACCCCAAAACCCCTAACATTAGCTAAAATAAAAATAAGAGAATTTATGATAAAAATTTTAATCAATTAATTTCTAATAATTAAGGATAATATCTATCTCTTGTTTGTGACTTGAATATTAACTTGTCTCTGAAATCTTTTATATCCATAATGTATCTCATAGTGGGTCTTCCATGAGCACATATCCAAGGATCTTTAAGATGGTAAAGACTTTACACTAATTCCCTTTACTTTCTTCTCTCGAGTTTATTTCCGACCATTATAGATGATCGGCATGCTCTCAACGCTAATACCTGCATTACTTTTTTTGGCATAAGATAATCAAATATTTGCTATTCACTTTGGTATCTAGTTTTAGCTCTTTCATCTGAATCAAAATTTCTAATTGATGTCACCAAATTATGAAAATCACTCTCCTCAAATTAGGTGTCATTACTATAAGGCAAAGAAATGACTCTAATCTAAACTGTCTTGCTAGTCCAACTTAATTTCTCATACTTAAAGCCGAATGCTGTAAATATTTTTTCATACTTTTCAACTAAGCTAAACAGCTCAGCATCAATATCAGCAATAATTGGCTTCATTAAAGGTTGGGAATCAATTTTAAGTGCACTTGTAAATTTCTCTAAATGAAGTCTTTCATCACAGGCATGCTAATCAAGGATAAATAAATCATTTCCATTCAGAGTGCATACCAAGAATCCCAGATTAAATTGGCCAATGGTTCTAAATTTAGTAAACTCTTTTTTCCAAAAGGTCTTCCTCATAGCTTCATTTGTTAACATATACATAAGCTTATCGTGGTACTTGAATCCACACTCATAATTAGTTGTTTAAAACTTGCCTTTTAACCTCATTCTAAAGCTCTTTTTATCAATCAAGAATTTCTTCTCGTATTAATCATACTCGAAATAGGCATTATCAATCATTTACTCTAAACTAAAGTGCAAAGTTTTGTCATTTGTGAACTATTCATATTTTTCTATAAAAAGCTCTTCTTGTTCAAACATTTATTATATTGACATTCTTGTCATTGACATTGCATAATCAGGCCTATAAGTTTGTTCGGATTAAGAAAGAGTGCTTTCTTTTCCATCATTATTTATAAGCATGTCATCTTAGCTTGAATCATAATTTTCTACTTTAAGATTAATACTATCTTCATCGCTCTGGGTATCTTACTCAGAGAAATCTTTGATTTGACTTTGACTTGCACTCTCTTTTTTCATATTTGATTCTTCTTATTTCAATTACTAATTTGGATCTATTACTTCAATTTCATCTTCACTATCAATTTCAATTTCTATTGTATCTTCAATTTCAAAAACTTCATCTTCATCCTTATCCTAATCCACCTTTATCTCGATCTTGACCCTTTTATAAGGTTTTTCCTTTTCCCTGAAATCAGGATTATAATCTTCAAACTTGAAATTTTAAACGTAGCTTTAACTACTGCCTCTTTCATTTTTCATTTCATCATCATAATACTCGTAATCATCATCGCTGTTATAAAGATTTTTAAGTCTTACTTAGTCTTCATCATCTGACTACATTGGTGAGTTTGAAATCTCAAGAATTTTGAATTCTCAGTTATATCCGTACTTACTTCTTTTTAGCTTTTTGAGTTCTTGCTTAAATTGAGCCTTGCTAACTTTGACCCTTTTTTAGATTGGAAATAATTATTTTGCTGATGTCTTTGCAGTAAATGGATCTTCTTTTATAAATGGATTTGCAAAAGTTCCCTTCTAAGGTGAGGATTTTTCCTCCAGTTATTTTTTAGAATAAATAGGACAGATCTAATTAAATCTCTAAAAGAATAGAGATCTAATCTTTTCATATACTTGCTTTTCAATTTCAGGTTTAAAAAAGAATTTTCTCACATCTGCTTAGAGCTTAATATCATAATTAGTGATTGGGCATTCTACAGAAGTTATATTTAAAGAACTTACCTATATGAATAAGAACGAATGGTATAGTTTTAGGGTCTATCATAAAATCAAGATAAAGTTAGTAAAATATGGCCTTGAATCTTTTGGTGCATTCCGATGGTCTACCATTAAGGAAAACATGTAGATACTTATACACTAAAATCGTCTATTTTCCTTATTTAGGTTTTGTTAATATAGTATGTATCTTGATAGTATTGTTAATCATTTGATCCTCAAACTAAATCAAATCAGGAACAAGATTAGGCCACTTCTTCCTGAATTACCTCTCCAAAATCTTGAATAAGTTAGCTTCTAGCCTCTCAAATGACTCAGTTTGAAAAACTGTATTTATCGTTCTAAAGATGAAATTAAATTTTCTTCAATCTATTAACTTACTGTTTCTCTAGGGGTTTTTCTTATAGATGATTGTAAGTCTCAGTGCTGTTTGACAATTTAAGTTCTTATTCAATGAGAATCATTGAATACTAGTTTATTAGTTGCATCATTTGATCATGCTAAAATTTGAAGTACTTTACATATTTTTTCCTGTAAAACATTCCATTTTCAAGTACTTTTCTAACCTAAACTATAGTACCCTACCTTGTCTTAACTATATTTTAATAACTTCTCTCCCTTATTTCTTGCTTTTAATTGAACTGAACTACCAAAGATAGTGGTTTGTAGAACAATTTAGTTATAATAACTAATTCACATGTTCAACTGAGAGAATCAAGAGATTCACCTTTATACCCAATACTTCTTGTTTTATATATTTCGTTTCTTTGCCTATAAGGCATGCATTTAACATAATCATCAGTGAAATCTTCCTCTTCAATGCCAACTCCATCATCAATTACATCAAATCCATTTTTGCCACCATCATATAGTCTTATTTCAATGTTATTAGCCGATCTTTCAAGAGAATTCTCAAGTAATTAACCTATCCATATTCTGAGTAGAGCATAAATATCATGAACTTTGATGTCCGATATTTGAATAAGTTGATTAGCATTCCTTACCAACTCTTAATTTGTAGGTTTTGGCTGTAAGGGCTTTAATAGCATCTATTTCATTCCATCAGTGGGTTTACTATTCTTAGTCAAAGGATTTGGATCAGTTTTATGATAATTATACTTCCTCTTATTGTTGACCTTACCAGTGTTCTTTCCAAGCAAGTACATAATAATATTGATTTAGTGTGCAATGAAAAATAAACTTGATAGCAAACACTCAATTAAATCCACTATTTATCAATTATCATTCCTTTCCAGAAATAATATGATTTATTATGATGGGGTTTTGGGGTTTTGGGGAGATCGG